TCCTGATAGGCGCTGCCGTTTGGGTGAAGTTGGGGGCTTTTAGGTAAGTGCAGGTATCCCCTGGCTGAACCTGGTGATCGAATTAAGGGACAAGAGAGTGAGCGAGGTCACAATGCTACCTGCTCTCTTCCTCGTGTTGGTGGCCAGTGACAGAAAGGTAGCCTTTCCCTTTCTTTAAACAGGTCTTCCCGGAGGATAAGTGGCTGTCTCTGTGCTAGATTGTGTCAAGGCTGGGCTGACGGACGCTTGGCATGGTAGTCTCCTCCAGCAGGGAGGAGAACGCCCCTGATAGGGAGTATCTGAGTAAGTCAACAAGTGTGTTGACGTTTTCCCATATGCATTTTAAGATGATCTCTTAAATCCTGAGCCAGACTTCTACATGTAACCCCAGCTGGCTCCCTTATTATGAAAACTGCTAATAATTGCAAACTTCAGTTTGTGAAAAGTTCATGAGACTGAGTTTAGGATGACCGCAGCACTCTTGAACCTGTGCGTCATATGTTATAGTGTCCTCGGCACTTTCGCACGCATCTCTTGAGTCTCTGATCAGCCTGGTGGGGCAAGAATTGTTACAAGTGAGTGAACCAGAGGCCAAGGGAGCACAAGTCAACAGTGGTCATGAGATTTCACTGGTTCCATTGACACGAAGCCTGAAACTCTTTGTCAGTCATGAAGCTTCCATGCAGTGGTCTGATTCTAAACTCTAGATTGTGAATATCGTAAAGGCAGGTAATAATTTTATTATCACATCTGTGAGAGGGAGAGCATGGGAGCATCCTGTTATGTGGCAGGTTGCTTGGGCAGTGTTTACATTTTGGCTGCACATTAAAGATTCTTAAAGTGTGGGTCACCAACCACCTGCATCAGAATCACCTGGGCACCATTCCAGACCCCCTGACTTGGCACCACTGGAGGTGGGCTCTGAATCTGCATGTGCAACAAGGCCCAATATGTTGTCAGTTTGTAAGTGCTTCGTGTATGCTTGAGAAGAATTTGTATTTCCATTTTTGGGGTGTGGTATTCTTTATAGGTACCTTAATAAATCTTATTGATTATAGTTTTCAAATCTGTTACAGCCTTAGTTATATATATCCACTTGATCTATCAGTTGCTAAAAGGGGTAATGATTGTTGATTTGAGTCTTTCTTCTGTAGTTCTGTCATTCTGGTTTTGTCTATTTTGAGTCTATCTTATGAGTTGTATACGAGTTTCAAATTATTATATCTTTCTGGTAAATTAAAGCTATTTTAATTTCATGTTTAGAAATGCTTTTTGCCTTAAGGCTTACATATCCAATGTATAAATTCGTGTGTGTGTGTGTGTGTGTGTGTGTGTGTGTGTGTGTGTCTGTCTGTCCGTGTCCATGTGTATTTACCTACCTATGCATCCATCCATCCATCCATCCACCCACCCATCCATCCATTTATCCATCCATCCAAGGTGCGCAGTATGTGCCAGGTACTCAGAATATAAAAAAAATAAGGCACAGTTCTTGACCTTGAGGGGATTCGATCTAGTTTTCATAGAACAGATGTATAAGAGGAAATGGAAGTGACAACAGTCAATTCCATAGACATTTAGGATGGCAATGAATGTGAGATGTTAAAAAGAAGATCCATCCATTTATCCATCCATCCAAGGTGCGCAGTATGTGCCAGGTACTCAGAATATAAAAAAAATAAGGCACAGTTCTTGACCTTGAGGGGATTCGATCTAGTTTTCATAGAACAGATGTATAAGAGGAAATGGAAGTGACAACAGTCAATTCCATAGACATTTAGGATGGCAATGAATGTGAGATGTTAAAAAGAAGAGAAGGAAATTTAAAAAACCATCATAGGAAATGCAGAGAAGCTTTGCGTAAAAGGCAGAAGACAAATACCATTTCATATTACATAATTCTTCAAAGCTCAGTGTTCTCTGAATTTTAGCGCTTGCTTTGAGGTAAGGCTGCATTATTCCTTGCTTGTCTGGGAGTCAGCGTTCAGGTGGTTGATGACTGTAGACACCAGAGCACCAGTGACCCTCTCTAACCATCCCTCCAGCTTATTCTGAGCATTTACCTGTGACACAGGAGTAGCGAACTGTGATTTTACGGTCAGTTTCCAAGGCAGACTCTCCATAAGAACATCCAAGAACTGTTTGTCCACTATAACCTCTGGTTTCAAAGTGCTGGATGGCCATCGATTTAAAAGCAAACTTGATCTTCCTTTACAGGAAGTCTGTCATTGGAATATTTTTAGTGACTAGCATCTAATAGCACAGACACTGAGATGCCACCCAGGCACTGCGGGTTGAGTGGCGGACTTTACAGCAGTCCACGTTTAAACGGATCAACTTCGATGTGTTTGACGTCCACGTGGTTTGGTGAGGGGAAGAGGCGAGGGCTCTCGGTAACGTTGGTGCTGTAGAAACTGCGGCCGAGCGGCGCTGTCCACCAGGACTCTGTGATGAAGATGTCCCGCGCCTGTGGCACTTGAGCCCTGGCGATGTGGCCGGTATGGCCATGCTGAGTATTAATTATCACATCTGTGAGAGGGAGAGCATGGGAGCATCCTGTTATGTGGCAGGTTGCTTGGGCAGTGTTTACATTTTGGCTGCACATTAAAGATTCTTAAAGTGTGGGTCACCAACCACCTGCATCAGAATCACCTGGGCACCATTCCAGACCCCCTGACTTGGCACCACTGGAGGTGGGCTCTGAATCTGCATGTGCAACAAGCTTTCCAGGTGACAGGTGACGTTCGGGATTCTGCTTTCTGCGGAGCGAGGGGGTAAGCCGCATTACTCCGCAGATGTGAAGGGACTGGCTTGTTTTAGAGCTCTAGTTCTGGAGTGACAGAGGGGTGGCTTGGGAGGGGTAGAATTCTGTCTTCTCTTCCTTCCTTCATTTATGATAACTCTTTTCTTATCTCTATCTGTCTCAGCTCATCTTAGAAAAATTATAGGTGATGTAGAGAGCCACCCACTCATCCATCCATCCACGCATCCATCCATCCATCCATCCATTCAATCCATCCACCATCGACCCATCCACCCATCCACCCATCCATCCATCATCCATCCACCCATCCCCCCACCCATCCATCCATCCATCCATCCATCATCCATCCATCCATCCATCTATCCATCAATTCAATTACCTGTCAATCTATCTTTCACTCCATCCATCCATCCATTCATCATTTATCTATTCACCCATTCATCCATCATCCATCCATCCATCATCCATTCATCCATCCATCCATCCATCAATTCAATTATCTGTCAATCTAACTTTCACTCCATCCATCCATCCATTCATCCATCCATCCATCCATCCATCCATCCATCCATCCATCCATCCATCCATCAATTCAATTATCTGTCAATCTAACTTTCACTCCATCCATCCATCCATTCATCCATCCATCCATCCATCCATCCATCCATCCATCCATCCATCCATCCATCAATTCAATTATCTGTCAATCTAACTTTCACTCCATCCATCCATCCATTCATCCATCCATCCATCCATCCATCCATCCATCCATCCATCCATCCATCCATCAATTCAATTATCTGTCAATCTAACTTTCACTCCATCCATCCATCCATTCATCCATCCATCCATCCATCCATCCATCCATCCATCCATCCATCCATCCATCAATTCAATTATCTGTCAATCTAACTTTCACTCCATCCATCCATCCATTCATCCATCCATCCATCCATCCATCCATCCATCCATCCATCCATCCATCCATCAATTCAATTATCTGTCAATCTAACTTTCACTCCATCCATCCATCCATTCATCCATCCATCCATCCATCCATCCATCCATCCATCCATCCATCCATCCATCAATTCAATTATCTGTCAATCTAACTTTCACTCCATCCATCCATCCATTCATCCATCCATCCATCCATCCATCCATCCATCCATCCATCCATCCATCCATCAATTCGCACAGACACTGAGATGCCACCCAGGCACTGCGGGTTGAGTGGCGGACTTTACAGCAGTCCACGTTTAAACGGATCAACTTCGATGTGTTTGACGTCCACGTGGTTTGGTGAGGGGAAGAGGCGAGGGCTCTCGGTAACGTTGGTGCTGTAGAAACTGCGGCCGAGCGGCGCTGTCCACCAGGACTCTGTGATGAAGATGTCCCGCGCCTGTGGCACTTGAGCCCTGGCGATGTGGCCGGTATGGCCATGGCACTGAGTATTAATCGTATCTAATTTTAATTACTTTAAATTTGAATTTAGTAACCGCATGACACGTGCTGGATAGCTCTGGCTAAGACACGGCTGTGACGAATCAGAATGGCTTCCCTCTTCCCTTCTCTCCCCGCCCCCTCGCGTGTCCTGCTTGCCCTGCCTCCCTTAGCCCTTGTGTCTCCCAACTCCGTGATGATGGACAAAACAAGAGGGCAAAGTGGACCCTCAGGAAGGCGGCTCCTGAAGACCCAGGCGAGAGCAGTGACTAGATGGGAAATGAATTCCGTGGGTGGGGACCGGGTGGTATCAGAGCGAAGGCTTGGCACCGAGTTCCTTCAGGAGTGTCCTCAACATGTCCTGATTTCCTCTGGGCGCTGGACTCTCACGGGTGGGGACGTGGACGTGAGAACCGCCTGTCAGTCTCGTCCAGCAGTAGCTGTTCAGTGAGCAGTCCTTGACTGAAGGTAGGGTGTCTGAGCACAGCGATCAGCATCCAGTGAGGTCGCTGCTGCCCGGCCCAGTCTGACCCCCCTCTCAGGAGTGTCAGGAGTGGGGGAGGCGCACCGACCCGGTGACTCAGCAGATGTTTACTGACAGCAATCAGTACTGGAAGAGTACTATGCAAGCATACCGAGGGGGAAGTTGGCCTATGACAGCTAGCCATACCAGGCTGGATAGTCAGAATAGTCATAATAATATTATTAGGAAAACACAGTCTAACTTAGAGTGTGGCAGGACCGAGACAGTGGAGAGCATCCCTAAAATATTTGTTCTCTTTCGACCTTATAGGCAGTCAACCAGGTACGTCATTGCCTACCTGGGCCATCGTCTTGCTTGCAGTATCTCTCTCATTGCTTTTGATCCTGATAATTGTTCTGATTATAATATTCTGCTGCTGTTGTGTCTCCAGGAGAGAAGAAAAAGGTAATTTTTTTGTTTATTCGTTATAGATCTCTATAAACTTTTGAACTTTTGGTACAAGAGTTGAGGTTCATGAATCGTCAGCTCTTTCAAAAGATGCATTGGCTTTCGGAGTCTCTGAAAGGAGATTGGTGAAATTCGCAGAGAGGGGAAGGACTTTCTTAAGGAAGGAAGCTATTCCTTTGGGGCCCGATACAGCCCATCTGGGATACTGGGTTACGGGGTGGACCGTTCTCACCAAGGACATTGACTGTTTCATTTTTGCGCTTATTTGCAAGGATATAAGGCTATTGTGATCTGTCATTCAGAGGCTATGTTTTTTCTGGAAGAATGCTGACCCTTCTGAGCACATTCAAAGATTGTTTCCTATTTTAAAATTCCAAATCTCCCTCTGCGCATGTTGGAGTCGCGTGAAAAGAAAAAAAAAAAGGGCATTCTGTTCACAAAAATAGTACAAATAAAATTAATTAAATTCATTACACATTACTTTTGAATGAGTCCTTTTGAGACAGTCCGAGAATGCGAAGGCAGCAGTCTCCTTGGGGGGTCCAGCACCACTTGGGTTGGGCTTTTTATAGAGTTCGGCAGTTTGTGACTTGAGAAACCGCAGGACCTTCGGCACGAGGACAGCTTGGGACTTTCCAGGTGGAGAAGGTGTGTATCCATCCTTATCTTTCTCTTGTAAAACCTTCGCCTACTTTTTTTTTGGGGGGGGATATTTTTTGCAGTTTGATTATTTTTATTAAAGTGAGAACTTTGATGTTAGGTCACATGTCAGTTTAATGGCATTTTAAATTTTATTAACGCTGACTGCCGTTTGATGAGCACTTTTTGTGTGTGCCGGGCATCGTGTGAAGTAACTCTTTTCCATGAAATATCGCTCTCAGTGAGATATTCCACATACAGTGCATAATCTAGCCTTGACTAGGCCAACGGTCTAGCCTTAGCTCCTTCATGGAGTTTGTTTCTGATTGGGGAATTAATTCTGTGATAGAACTTTATTCCCTAGGAAACAGAAAATAAAAAACTGTGAACTCCTGTTGACCCAGATATGATAGAAATTTGTGTTCACCTGGGACTTACCCTATATGCCACAGATGGATTACTTAAATAAAAATGACTGCATTTTAAATGAAAACTATTGGATAACTTCAATATTAATTCAGAAGTGACTAGGACTGTTCAGCGCTTCCAGATGATTATTTTCAAACTAGCTATTGAAGTGTCATCGTAGACCTTCCTGGGTATTCAGAACGTGCTCCTCTTAGGCCTTTGTCTGCTCTGCATTAGCCTAGTAAGAAGGTTTGTGACGTTGGTGGCCCACGTAGGATGTGCAGAAACACGATTCTCTGATTTTTAGCTTCCTCATTTACAAAACGGGAGTAAGTACTGTCCTTTAAGTCGGTTGTGAGAATTAATGAACTAATTTTTAAATGTTTCTGTGATCCATCCAAAATGTTATCCTTTGTTTAACTTGGAGATGGAAAACTCACGTAAGTGTGAGCTGTTTTTTTCCCTTGGTTTGTAACTGGTCCAGGTAAGGGCCATAAACAGGGCCTGTGACAACATACTCACTATGCCTGCCCCCACCGGGTACGACTCACAGTGGACACTATGTTTTACCTTGACATAAATGGAAAGAATCCAGTGAAGACCTGGATTACCCCTTGATAATTATTTCCATGCTAAAAAATATTTAACATCAAGTTTTTTCAAGGGTATTTCCTGGTGCCCTGCTTTGCTGGTGCCTGGAGAATTCTTGGTGCTCTCACTGGTTAGTCGGGGACTGGCTAAGGATGGTCGAGGACCCCACTCAGCGCGGCCTGGTGGCCTTGGAGTCACAGCTTCTAGAGCAGGGGGACAGAGAGCCTGTCTCCTGCAGCCTGGCCCTTATGGTAAAACCAGCGATACTCCCCTCGTACTGGAGGGGAACCGATCTCTCTCCTTCAAATAACATGGCTCCTGAACTTCAATTTGGGGTGTGAATCGGCAGATGTTATTAGAACTGAAAATAAGTGGGCACATTGTCTAAAAAAATAAGGACATGCTTTTTAGCTCTCATGAAGCTTGATGACTAGAAGCCTTAGACAGGAAAGCAGAGTTGCAGAGAACACTGGCTTTCAAGGCAAGATGGGTGGGGACTGGTGTGTGGCTGTTACTCCCCATTTTCAGGTTCTATTATGTTCTCCGGTCCCAGAAACCATCGACTGAAAGCATTAGCAATTTGAGAACAGCCTCGGGGGTGGTGAACCCAACTGTAGGAACTGATACCGTTAGTACATCAAAAATGTATCTTAAAAAATACAGGGCTTAACAGTATAATTCCTTATCTGTTGAAAATATGGTAATGGTAATCTAATGGTCTCTAGTCTGTTAGATGTGATCACACTAACACCTGCCTCTCGGGTTGTCATAATGATGAAATGAGGTGCTACCTTGCACGGCGCTGGCATGATGCCAGTACACAGTAACTAATGAATGACAGCAGGATGGGGAATGATGCCTCCTCCCTTCATGGGGAATGATGCCTTTATACTCCAGCCTGTCAAATTCAATATTTGCGAAGTATTATTGAATTAGGGACCTATTTCAGGTACCCAGGGGTTATTTCTATTTATGAAAGTAGATAATGACTTCTATTTTCCTTAAGCTTGGAAGTCATTCGATAATTCTGTGTGTGGAAACTTGATACCCACCAATACTCAGTAATGTAATAAAATCAGGAGATTCATAAAAATCAGTGAGATTTTATTTTCAGAGTCACTGTCCTGATTTTGCTGTTGTTTTTTTTTCTTTCTAGAATCTAGTTATCACAATGAAGTAAGGTAAGTTTGACATCACCTCAATTTTCTGAAAACAAACAAATGAAAAACAACCAAACAACACCAATACCACCACCACCACACACACACACACACACACACACACACACACACACACACACGTACACAACTGTGGCATTTTAGAGTTACGTTACTCAAAATGAGGTACTGAAAATGGACAACTCTAAAAAACACATATGCCAATCACAAATTCATAATGCGACATTGTAGAATATGGTAGGTGTGTCGCTGCTGTGTGTGCTCAACTTGCTCTCGCCACCTAGGAGGGAGATTTTCTGCTTGGTGTCTGGCGTTTGCAGCTTTTTTCACAAGAGGGCACTATGCACCGCGACTGGTGTCCCTCCTGCTTAGAGTCGCGGCTAGGGACTCAGGGACCATTTCAAAGATATTGAAGAGCCAGGCAGAGGTTCCCCCGGAATTTGTGGGGTGACGAGAGCAGCGAGACCAGCTGGATGGCTTCAGGCACGGGTAACCGACCCGGCAGACAAGTTAGGTAGCGTTCACTGCTTGTACAGGCGACGGGAGGGCACTGAAAACTTCCTGCCATTTCCACAGGCGTCCAGAGGTAGCCACGTGCTCTTTTAAGGTAACCATGCCAAGGATTTACAGTACTACAATAACCAGCTGCCATGTCTGCCATATTTACATAACTATAAAGGCACTAGGAGGAGGGGCTTTTTAGATGGCAGTGGATTCACGGGGGTGTTACAACAAAACCACACTGGTTGTCAGCATTTCATTAATTTTAATTCTTGAAACGCTGTGATTTTAAAGTACCTTTAGGCTACACGTGGTGCGTTATGTGCACAGTCATCGTGTGACAGATTCTGCTGTTCTCTCTCTGGCCCGGGGCGCCCCTGGTGAACATGTGTTTTGAGAGAGGGGGCTGCTCTCCCTCTGAGGACACTGCAGAGCCACAGTCTGAAAACACACCTCCTTCGGGGCCTGGCTTAGGGCGACGGGAGAGGCAGAATCCGCCCCGGATCGTTCCCCTGGCGTTTCTCCAGCTTGCTGTCCCCTCGCAGGACGGCAGCCGAAATTCTTCAGTTCTCCATGACTGATTGCAAAACAGCTTTCGTTTCTATTCTCTGGGATGTTAGGTGTTTTTGAAACATAGTACGGCGGGTCGACAGCTATGCAGGACGGAGGGCGGGGACCCACGCACAATAACGACCACGATGACAGCAGTGATCGTGATGCTGGACCGTGCTGAGTGTCTGGCGCCTGTGCCACGCACTGTCCCACTCGGTACAGGTTTCACCTCACTTGATTCTCACGGTGATTTTTTTTTTCCATTTTGCAGATGAGGAAATTGAGGGGTATAGAGAAGTTAAGTAACGTGTCCAGTGTCTCCCCTCAGAAGTGGGCCGGTCAGGGTGTGAACCAAGTCGTTCTGCTCAGGGCCTGGGTCCTGGGCCACGTGCAGCTCTTGCCCTTGACCTGAGTGTGTTAGGTTGGGGTGAGGGAGGGAAGACGGGGGCTCGCTGGGACCCCTGTATCCTACCTGCTGGCAACAGTGCTAACTGCAGCTGCCCGCAGACTTCTTGGAAAAATAAAATATTTTTTTTTCCTATAGAATCAATGCATGTCAATTATAGAAAAAATTTAAAAGTAAAGGTAGGTATAAGACATGGTTTTAAAAATTATGCGTAATTCTGTCTACGGCCATGCCACCCTGAACAAACCTGACCCCGTCTGATCTCGGAAGCTAAGCAGGGTCGGGCCTGGTTAGTATTTGGAAGGGAGACCACCTAGGAAGACCAGGTGCTGTAGGCGTAAAATATTTAAAAAATAAAATAAAAAATAAAGGATTGTAAGCCGACAAGGTGCTTGTAATCTGTGAGGTCAACCAAGGGTTGCCTCATCTAAAAAAATAAAAATAAAAAACAATTATGCATAATTCTATTGCCCAGAAGTAATTATTGTTCTTTAAGTATATAGATACTTACATGCATGTGTGTTCACATAGATTCATACACATATGCATTTTGTATCATTTGGATTATAATGAATATTATTTTATAGCTTCTTCTCACTTGACATTCTGAAGGTGATTTCCGTTAACAAATACTTGCCTACAACATTTGCGTGTTTTTTGCCTGATAAAGTATCTTATCGACATATAACATGAGCACAGAAAAGTACATAAATCGCAGGCGTTGTAGCCCGATTAACTTTCACAAAGCCTGTGTGCCTGGGCCTTGACTGCCCACGTGCAGAACCAGAATACCCCAGGACCCCCAAACCCCTCTCAGGCCCCCCGTCAAATCATCGCCTGGCCCTCTCTCAAAGGTCAGATCTTCTGACATCAATCCCCATATCCCCAGAGACCAGATTCCTATAAACTTTATATAAATGGAATCACCTCGTGCACAGTCATCTAATTTGGCCTTACTGAGCTCCCCAGGGTGGGCCCGATCCATGCTGTTGACCGTAGATGCGGAGAGTTTATTATCATGTCACACTACATTTAGGGCACATATGCCATTTATTTTTCCATTTTACTTTAAGTGGTCATTTGGATAGTTTTCAAGTTGGGGACATGGTGAGTGCCACAGCATTGAGCATTCTAATGTCTTTTGGTGACATGACCACGCGTGCTCACTCTTGGCTTGTGTTCTGTTGGGAATATGTCTGCTAGTGAAAGCTGGGTCCCAGGGCAGGTATGAACTCAGTTTTAGATAACACGGCCACACATTTTTTCGAAGTAGGTGCCAGTTTCCACGCCCACCAGCAGTGCACGAGAGTCCTCATCCGCCATAACTTTTCCAGGTGACATGGATTCCGCTGTAGAGATTAGTCTCCTGTGGTTGGACACCTGGGTCGTTTGCAGGTTTTGCTGTTGTAAACAGCTCACGAAAGAACATTCTTTCAAGTAAATCTTTGCACATCTTCCCGATAATAAATTCTTAGTGGTCAGGCATGAATATTTAAAATCTTTGGGTATCCACTGCCATACTTCCTGTCCCCAGGAAGCTGTGCCCATTTTTGCTTTATTTTAGAGGTTGGCAGGCTTCTTTTTCATAAAGGGCCAGATGGCAAATATTTTTGGTTTTGCGGTCCACATGCTCTCTGTCATAAATACTCAGATATGCTGCGGTGACAGGAAAGCACCTGTAGACAATATGGAAGCAGACAGGTCTGACCGCATTCCAATAAAACTTTATTTATAACAACAGGTGGCGGGCCGGGTTTGGCCCCTGGGTTGTAGCTTGCCAACCCTGCTTTATTTGGTTGCTGGTTTCTGAGGGTTTAGAACTGACTCTGAGTGGAGTCCATGGGTCGCTCGTGATAAAGTTCCATCTCTCCCCATAAAGGGAGTGAGTGTGCACACAGGCCGTCCACGCAGCTATGCAGGTGGCTTTGAGCGTCTGTCCTGATGCTCGCCACCCCCCAGGGACCAGCGAGCAAGCTGTGGCCTGTGGCAAGATCAAGGTGTGAGAACACTCTGGGAGGAGTGGCGTGAAAGAGCTAAACATCTGTTGTTGATTAACACTTGGCTTTTAAAATTGTCTAATTCTAGGAAATCCGCAAATGCGAGAACCAACAAAGAAGCTTTTGAGACAAAGTTAAAAAATGGATTCAAAAACTATGGATACATTTCAGATGAGCCAAGGACCGCAGGTGAGTGGACAGGTGGGGCAGTAGAAAGACCTCGAAAGCAGAATTTTGAGGAGAAGGCCTGGCTAGCCAGACATCAGCTTCACGAGGCAGTTGACTTAGCCAGTGGTGATCCTTCTTTTTTTTCCGGGTGATTTTTAGAAGAACGAGAAATTCCAGAACTAGAAATATGCTAGGGTTAGATTAACAGGAAAAATTCACCTATTTACCTGAAGTTTAAAATAAAGTTATGTGGAGATTTAAGTGTTTTTAAAAGTAATTTTTTTCATGCTTTCTCCTTTGAAGCCTTTTTACCTTAAAGTGCGTGAGGAGGCATTTTACTAGAGTGAGGGTAATGTCTCCATAACTTCTATGAGATTCGAGAAAAATGGGAAACTCAGTAAGAAATCGGTTCCTATTCAACCTCACAGGGTGTGAGAGCATATTCAAAGACCAGACCTGATTTTGCAGTCTTTGAGTAACGTCTAAATGTCTTACCTTGAGCGTTTACAGCCCTAATAGGGGAGCTTCTCAGAAGGCACGATCACCAGCCAGTGGCAGGGGGAGGATCTGAACCGGGAGCCTCCCCGTGAGGCAGACAGACCAGAGAGAAAGGCTGAACAAACTACTCCTTAGCGGCTGGGCAGAGAGATCTGCCCTAACAAGTTGCCGGGCAAAGCGCATTCCACAGAAAGATTTTTAGTTAATCGATTCTTGCTGAGAGACGTGAAAAACATTTTTTTTCACCACGAAATGAGAGCTTTATTCTCAGCAGCCCCGTGCTCTGCATTCTGACATGCCTGCCTCCTGGGGACGCTCCACATTGCAAGCTTCAGATTTTCAAGAATTTCACAAAGCGTTGACTGTGTCCTTTGCTAATCTGATCTCGGCTTCTTGCGAAATTTCTCATGGGCGAATACGTATTCATTAGTATTTTGAGCAATGAATCAACCAGCTGGACCGGAATTATGGCCCAGACGAGATCTCTCTGGTGCCTGTTTTCCTCCTCTGCTCTGTGTTTATTTCCTTGATCAGCTGTTAGAGCCGTGAAGTCACCTCGTCTCTAAATGAGACTAACGAGTCGAGGAAGGAATCGATTTGGAGTCGGTTTGCCATGTTTTTATTTCATTAGACAACTAAAGTTCTAGAATTATGTAACCGTAAGGGAACTTGAGAACAAAAATCTGTTGATGGTTCGGGATTATTTTGCGCCAGGGTCCTACCTAGAGGTAAGTATGTTTCTTTATAAATCAGAATTCTTAGATGAGGCAGCTCGGTTTTTGTCACGTGTCACTCTAAAATCATTCTTCTGTTGCAGAGACTGGCTCTCCCCCTCCGCGGTCCTACGAAGCCCGGGTCCCTCAGCAACGTGGCATTAGTCAACCTCGTCAGGTGACTTTTCTGGACTTTTCTTTGCTGTTTAAAAACCTTCGCCTTGTGGTAGGCGATTATAAAAGGTACTCGTTTTATGAACATGCTGAAAGAACATGGCTTTGTTTAGCTCCGCGTCCACCGGTCAGCCTGGAGGGAGCACGGCCAGCATGAGCAGTATCTCTTGCCCTTTGTGGCGGGTTTGGGAGAAAGAGGTTTAAGTGGGGCCTGTCGATCTCAAGGCATCTGTGGATATGGCATGGAGATATGGGGTGTGCGGGTGGCTGCGTAAGCCTGGAGCCCCCCAGGAGAGGAGCAAGGTGTGGTCCTCCTGCTGGGCAGCCCGCGTCTGATGGCTGCCGTCCTTCTAAAAGGCGTTACCTTAAAAGTCACTTAAAAACCACGAGGGCATGATATGTTCATTTTTTGGTACAGAGTCAGCGTTGACTGTCACAAAAGAATGGAGTTTATATGCAAAAATACGATTCTTTAGATCTCAAATGATATTGAGCAAATTGTATGTAACCAGCAGCACTTCCCGTCCCGATCCGTACAAACGCAACTTTGAATGAGAAGGACTTTTTTTTTTTTTGTTTTGGAATTCTGCGATGGGGTCCCCAGTAAGACGGGATGTTCTCCCCTCAGCCTTTAGAAAAGCAAGGTGCACAGAGCGGGTTTCTGCATCAGATGGTCTTGGCTTCGTTCTGCTGAGGCGTCGCTGTCACCCTGAGGTCCTGCCCCAGAGAGCCCCCCCCATCACACTCACCTGAGTTTCCAGGTAGCCCCAGGCTGTACTGTTCCTCCCAGTGGCGGGATTGGCTCAGTGCACACCTCTTGCTAGCGCTGTGTGCCTCCCGGGCCTTTGGAGGCAGGTGAGCTTTGACAGATGCTCCACCATGTGACAGGAGGACCTAAGTGATGCGATTAGTGACAACCAAGGTAGCCAGGCGGGAAGTCGTGTGAGGGGTCTGAGGTGCGAAGGGAGGGGGCCCGCGTGACGAGCTGAGAGTTCCTGGCACGAGCTCCAGCTGCATCCTCAGGCTGGGCATCGGGACCGCGGAGAGGTAGATCCTCCCATCAAGGCTGCTCCCTGCAGAGGTATCTTCCGCTGCGCTGACTCTGGTCCTGGGAGGATGGCTCACAGAGATGCAACAGGGTCCCTTTCGAAGGGCCTTGAGGGAGAGGTGGCTGGGGGATGGAGTCATCATCAGGCTGTGAATGTTGCCTGTCCCCACCCCCCACCCGTAACTGGACCCGAGTGGGGGTCTCGGGCTGGTGAAGGGGCTCTTTCTCACCCAGCGCCAAGCATGGCCACCAAAGGACACATTTAACGCTAACCATTACGTCCATGGCTTGTCTGTGGCCACCCGTTTCGGTGGCTCATCTTTCCACTAGACGGGCCAAGCGCTCAGGTCTCGGGTGCGGGGCAGGTGGGCAGATTCAGAAGAAGGTCGTGTCAGGTAAATCCCCTTGAAGTACAAATGAGGAGGAAGGGGAACTCGAGATGCGTTTGGATATAGGAAGGGAGAATGACGTTTCAGAGCTCTGAGCAACTGCTTCGTAAGTGTGAAGTGTTGCTTTGAAAACACGCAGGGAGAAAAATTTAGGACGTTCCTACTACTTAAACATCTAACCAGCTAAATAATCTATTGGCGGAAAAAGAACAGTAGCCGCGGGGTGCTGGGCCCTGGGGGCCGGGAACACACGTCTGTGCGTCTTGAGTGTTTGTGTATCTCAGTCCGGAGCATGACGGACAAATAGGATGCTCGGGAGATGAACTATTTTGCCCGGCTAGACACCGACAGAGAGTTTTCAAACAGCTGGAGTTTTCTACTTATAGTGGAGGACTCAGGACAAGGACAGTCCTGAAGACGTCCGTCTTTGATCACTAACGAAAGGGCGACTTTGTAGGTACGGGCCAGGCAGTGGCTGCAGGTCACCCGTCTGGACCGTGGGCTGTGCTTCCCGTGAACTGCTCACAGAAAAGACGATGAGACGGACGTAAAGGGACGGTCAGGCCTTGGAGCGTGGTGGCTCCCTTTGGTGCCCTTGGCCCAAGGAGGACATAGTCCTGTACGTAGTCAATGGCCACTTGAGAGCCACCAGGTGGCCAAGCCACAGCCTGTAGGAGCAGGTTGGGGCGGCCCTTAGCCTGGAGGTACCTTGTGGAACTTCCCAAGGCCAGGCCTTCGGCCCCGGTCTACGTGGCCGCCATCTTGCTGTGCAGGCCGATGAGGACCTCTCAGGGCGCACTAGGCCACGGTCCAGGGATAGTGCCATTTGCGCTCTCTCCTCCCTCACCCTCTCTCCGTTCTGCCGTGAGTCTTGCTCCCTCAAGTGTCCCAACAGCTTTCAGAGCCTCTCTCTCTGTCCTTCCATCCTGGCGTGCCTCTGTGGGACTCCCCTTTGCCACTTTGCCCCCTGCACTGCTGCTGTGGGGGTTTCCATGCGCATGGGCCTCGTGGGCCCAGAGGCGCCGACCCCGATGCCTGCCCGAGAAGCTGGCTTGTTAGAGGTCAGGGTTGCTGACTGCAGATTGCACTGCTTTGCAAAAAATCTATATTAGGATTGGGTTCTGAAAAGCCTGTGGATCAAACTGAGAGATCGCAAGCTGCAGGTCAGCCTGCAGCAAAGACGCTTCCCAGTCCTCATCCCGTGGAGCTAGCTGGGCGTGACATGTGTCCTGTCTGTGGAGACAAGGCACGTGCAGCAGTCACGGAAGCTGATGATCCCAAGCCAGTGGTGACAAGAGATATCATTAGACCAGTGTAGATGAATGTGCGACATAAAAATAACGTCAGGTTTTGGGTCATTGAAGAGATGTAAGTCCTTCCGTGTCAATCTGTGGTCTCGGGCACTTAGGTTCCTTCAAGGTCTCCCGCTCAGATACAATCTAAGGAGGGGTCAGCTTTGGGGTTTGCAAATGTTTTGTATCTCGATGAATATTTAAAACAGGCAATCCCTTTCCTCCTCCCTTCCGTACAGGCCTCAGTTCACTGTACATCCATTTTTCTGGTTATTTTAGGCGACTCTGTCTCTTTTTCTCCCGAGTCTGTCAGTTTTGGGAGATGAGCATATGAACAACTTGAAACCTGCATCAAGCCTTCTCCATCAGTCACTCCCCTATCGAGACCAACATAAATAAACTCTTGATAAATTTAGAAAACAGCAGTGCGTTTGGGCAACCCGGCAGTGCAAACAAAAGGCAGATGACAACAGCAAAAGGTCAGGCGTAGTCTCAGCAGATGCAGATTCTTACAGCGCGTTGCTGAGGGGCATCCCTTCAGCGGTCCGGGTCTGAGCGATCGGGAGCCAGTGAGTTAAGATCAGGACCCAGAGTGATTCCAGCCTCCCGACCTACTGCCATTCCTCTGCCAGGTAAATCATCTGTGGGGCCCAGCTTGCATCGTTTAAGATGTTACGCGTCATCATCGTGCCCTGGCATATGAGCTGGCGTCTTGGGAAGCACGTCCCACGCATAGGGCAATACACTTAGACAGGCCTCGGCCCCTCTGGAGGCGGAAGTGGGTTGTTTGCAATCACATTTTTAGCACGAGAATGGCAAAGAATGCATTTCTGGTGCGCACCAGCGACACCCGCCACCCAAGGAGATGGATCTGGAGGCGGAAGTGGGTTGTTTGCAATCACATTTCAGCACGAGAATGGCAAAGAATGCGTTCCTGGTGCGCACCTGCCGCCCAAGGAGATGGGTGGGATCGGTTCTCCCATGTAACCCTCTCCTTTAGAAGGAATGTGTGTTGCTAAAGGTTAGAAATATCTTATATTGTCATACAAAAGCTAGAATGTCCATAGGGAAACGGAAAGACAACACAGTGCATCTCTGCAGGAATTTGCCTTCGGATAAATCCTGGTTCTTTGAGGCAGATCGCTCTTGAGGCTCTGAACTTGGGGAGTGTGTAGAGCACGTGTTACTGGGAATATCTAACCAAAGGAAGTGTGTGGACACTATTGTTCCTCTCTGCATCTCCTTTTATCTCCTCTGATGAGTGGAGCTTTCTCCTCAGGTGAGACTTGGACAGTGATCTCAGCTGATTCAATCAACTGTTTCCCTTTGTCTCCAGGGACCTCGTGACAGCCAGCCGGGCCCAGCAAGCCAGCCCCAGGTGCACTTTCACACGGTCAGTCCCAGGAAGGTCAAGAATGAGACTTTAGTATAGCAAAGGTGTCCCTCAGGTTCGAAGCTGCTGATGGCTTACATCAGGACGAGGTCAGTGTTCCTCTCCGTCACCCTGAAACTGGGCTCCAGCTCTGTCACCGTTACCCGGAAGAAGTGATGTCGGAACCACTGGAATGGATATTTTGCAGTGAGAGCAGGAATTGATTTTCCCAGCTTTCGAAGTAGACTGGAACTTTTATTGTGTTTCAATATTTGAGTGCATTTCATAAATTGCTAAGTAAAAGCTGCAGATCTATCGTGATAATTTTTCTCATCACCGAACACTCCTGCTTGCTAATCTAATAAACGCTAGATGACTTTTGAAATGTTTTATTATCTTAAATCATATGAAGATTATATTTATGTATGTTTAATATATGGACAATATTGCGTACTAACAGTGAAAAAAACAGGATAAAAATTAGGATCCACCAAACACCTAAAATTGCCTGGAAAATCAGAACTCGTAGGTTAAAAATAAGATTACATTCTAAAGCTGATGTACACCTGGTGAAATATCTCATTATTGGATATTTACATGAAGATATTCATTTCTATGTGCTCCCTTATTGGGCTTACTGTCATGTCCTCAGATGAGTTAGCTGTGGATTATGTTTTGTAGGGGGCGTACCTCACACATCAAACACTGTGAAAAAACTGGAGACGGGTAATGTGTTCTTTAATAAATAAAAGAGAAAACACCAAAAACTCCTATTGCCTCCCTTCATTCTTTGCTAATCAGGTGGTAGTTTACAGAATCTCAGTGTTTAGGAATCAAGCATTTTCTTCGTTTTCTTTTTAATCGAAAAAAATTCTTTAATACCATCGAACAGCGATTCAGTATTATAATTTTCCTCATTGTCTTGTTATTTTTTTCCTGTTAGTTTTTTGGTTTAAGATCCAGTCAGTGTTCATACATCACATTTGATTACTGTATCTCTTAAGTCTCTTCTATTTATTATTATTTTTATTTTTCAATTATCGTCAAGCAGAAAGACAAGGTTCAGGAGACCTTTGGGCAGAGCTGTTCAATGAGCGAACTTCACAGTCTTCACTCACTCCTTCAGCCACCACGGAACCCAGATCCCGGGACAAGGCAAACATCGTGTCATTCATGCCTTTCATAACCTTTACAGAGTCTGATATTCTGTAGGCGTTTAGTAAATGTTGGTATCAAACAGGTCAATATTGAGAAGGACAGTAGATTGAATTATGATGAATATTTGCCCCGTGCTGGCTATAAGAATCCCATTTCTGTGGTTCTTTTAGGAGTTGGGGTAGGCGTGGCGTGTAGAACATAATGGAACTTGAAGTTTCGAACTCAGGAAAACGATGCCAAATGATTTTCATAGAAATTTCTCCAACTTAGTATGTGCTTGTTGAATCCGTCTCAGAATGTTTTCCATTGATCGGACTGTGGGAAGTTTTCCTGTGTCACTCATGAACAGGGTTTATGGTAGCTTATTGCGGGAGTAAGTTTTCTCAAAGCGATCTCGGCCAGTCTTTATTTCACAAGGGGTAGATAAGTTATATGAACGCAACTGTCAAGAGCTGCACCGCCTCATACCATAGCCACACGTGGCTATTTATATTTAAACTATTTGAAATCGAATAAAATGTAAGATTCATTTCTTCAGTCACACTAGCCGTGGGTCTAGTGTTCAGTAGCCACACTGGCTATTGGCTCCCGTATCGGGCAGTGCAGATTACAGTTTCGTGGCTGCAGACAGTTCAACTGGACAGTGCTGACCTAGAGCTGACTACCTGAAAATAACCTTGACGTGTCCAGCTGGGATGGGCTCTTTTATACAAACACACAACCCGTGTTTTCTCTCAGTGTTATGTCTGTGTATTCAGAATCCTGCAAACCCCAAGGCAGCTCTCAACTGAAAATGGTGTTTTCTGATGTGGTGAATTCATTTGTCACCTCTGCGGTGCAGAGAGCTGACGCGGGCTCAGGGGGATAGAAGAGAGACGTCAACCCCATAAACATTGTGGGGTGGCGGCGGTTTCTCAGAAAGATAGCCATGACTCTCTGCTGGTGGCTGGCTTATGAGGGTGCAGAGTTACAGAAATAAATATCTCTCATAGCCTCGTGTCATAAAATCCTAAGTAGGGAGACTACACCTGCCTGCCCATCCAGGGCTCTCGGCCTTGGTGACTCTGTCAGATTCCAAGCCTGCCCCATGAGGTCAAGGGTCTTCCTTGGTTGGCCTGGAGCAGGACTTGAATGGTGAGGCTGACACATCGGAGGTAACTGGAGGGCCTGATAGAAGTGCTTCCTTTGCTCTGTGTGGCCTTGACTTTGGAGAACTGTTAGGGGCATGCGAGTTGGGTCGCCAGTCCCTCAGAGTGTGATGGCCCAACAGCTGGAAAGATGCCGCAGAGCGTAAAGGAAGAGGCTGTGTCAATATGTGAAATCTGCCATTTAGGTGCTTCCAGTGTCGTTGGGGAAGAACATGCCATCCTGTGGGACAGCTGAGGTCGAGACAAGTCCAGACATGAGAGAAATAGTTGAGAGGCAAGACGGCAAAGAGGGCCAGTCCCTCAGAGTGTGATGGCCCAACAGCTGGAAAGATGCCGCAGAGCGTAAAGGAAGAGGCTGTGTCAATATGTGAAATCTGCCATTTAGGTGCTTCCAGTGTCGTTGGGGAAGAACATGCCATCCTGTGGGACAGCTGAGGTCGAGACAAATCCAGACATGAGAGAAATAGGTGAGAGGCAAGACGGCAAAGAGTTCAGGGCGCAGGTGGAGTAGACAGGACAGGCTAGAGAGGTGGCTACTCCCGAATGGAGAGGGTCCCTGGCAGCTGCTCGGCCTCAGGTAGAGGTACACAGCCAAGCCACGGAAACCTGGCAGGCAGGGAAGTGGAGTGACAAAGACTCTGCCCTCTCCGTCCGTCCCCTCACTCTCTGGCTCATGCCTTTTGTTCACCAACCCCAACCCAAGCCGACGGTCCAGGGAGCCCGCTGACGGCGTCCACATGGGATGCGGGAGGGCTGAAACTCGGTGTGGAGTGGCAGCCAGAAGATGCCCAGCCAGGAGCATCCAGGAAACGGACACCAAGGAGCGGAGAACGCATTTGCAGCGTCATGGGGGGAGACATTTTGCCTAGATGGTTCCACCTTTTTCTCTCCTCGAGGACGAGTTCATTGACCCAGGATACCAGGTAGAGGAAAGGAATCTGGCTTTGAACTTGAGAAGGTCACAGCTTCGGTGACCCTTTAGTAGAACAAAAGGACTAGATGGTGGACCCCGAACGTCCCTTCTGGCACTTACCTTTGTACACACACGCGCGCACACACACACACCCACACACCCCTGCCTGTCCCCATCTGACACGACCCCGCTGTTAGGACAGGGCTGCTGCCCTCTGGGTGTGTGCAGGCGTCTGTGGTTCTTGCGGCATTGGGAGCCACGTTCCCTAGCAGAGGGTAAGTATTTAACTCGCACCCAGCACAGCCCGTGAATCATCCACGGGTTTTGGCCTCGGGGGAGACGTACTCTCCACCTTCACGAAGCAGGTGCTCCAACCTCTCAGCCTGGACCTGGCAACTGGCCGGGTCCTGAGCTGGAAGCGACTTCAGCCCCACAATTGTCTTCCCACTGTTATTGGGTGCGTCCTGTTATTTCTAATAATACGAGATTCTGAACGTTCGGACTGGTGGAAAGTTTATGAGAATAATCGCCCAACCAGTGACTTCAGACTGAGAAAATCATGCCTGGTCTCATGATGATGCTGGCTTGACAAAGTAGAAAACTTAGAAGATTCCAGTAAAGTCTGGAGAGAAGGGAGAGAATGTAGCACAGAATGTAAGAATGTATTGATTATATTTTTTTTCAGAAAACTTAAAAATGTATGATATTTCATAGAGTAACTTAATTTGGGAATAATTGGTAATATTATGCTTCAATTTCATGGCTAATAAAGTCTGAGACAGTCAAAGAATAGCAAATTATAGTCTAAATCAAAAACTAATTTAAAGAATTACTGTTGATTAGTTTTTTTTTTCTCAAAAAGTGCAAATTGGATTGGATTTGGTGAAATGTATCACGGCAGTAGCAGATGATGGAAGAAGGAGCCCAGGCCTCCTGCCTCCTCACAGAATGTATTGATTATAGTGTGTGTGTGTGTGTGATATGTGTGTGTATCTGTGTGTGTGAGTTGTATGTATAAAGAGCAAGGGGAGAGAGAGACATTTGTTTTGTGTCTATGACAGGGGTCAGCAAACTGTAACCCCGGAAACAAATCGAGCCTGCTGCTTGTTTTTATGTGGCCCACGAATTAAAAATGGGTTTTACCTTTTTTAAGTGGTTGGGAGAAAACTCAAAAGAAGACTATTTCCTGATGTGAAAATTGTATGAAATTCAAATATCTGTGTCCACAGAGAATTGTCAAGTTATTGGACTTGTCCAAGTGTCGTTTTAAATCTGAAGGCTCTTTGCAGTGATAAGCTCCCAGTGGACTTGTGTGCGGGTTTTCATATGAGCTAATAAATTTGAAAGAGAGAAACATCTTTGCTTCTCAGTTCTGCCTACTTTATATTCCTTAAAGACGGGCTACATTACAGCCAGTGTACAGGTCATGACTTTTTGAGGAAGTAAAGAAATTTTCAGATGATCCAAAATTGTCAGTTCACATTAAAATTGGCTCATAAATTCAGTTACCTCCCAACTCCCTGGCTACACGGGAATTGATGGGGGTGGGGGGTTAATCCCAGTCTCCTTGCCGGCCAAAGACGGTGATTCCAGGAGGCAGAGCTAGAGGGCAGGAGAGTGAGCCTACTGTTAGTGTGGGGATTATCGATACGCTATAGAGAGCCAGCTGCTGGCTGCTGTGCCAACGAGGGCTCAGTACTGGGGCAGGGGGGCCTGTGAGGAGTATGGGAGGCCCCCCAGAAAGGCCACCTGGAGGACAGGAGGCTGCAGCGCTTGCTCACCCGCCCTGTTCCCACTGGCTGGTGACATTAACCTCCTCCTTCTCTCCCTCCCCACTACTGACAAGACCCAGTAGCAGACAGGAAGGACCCACGGTGGCTGTCTCAGGTGGGGTGCGGCAGGCTGCACTGAGTCTGCGCTCACCCCAAACCCTCGCCACGTCTGCGGACAGCGGCTGGAGGAGGGGGGACCAGGCGCATGAGATCGATGTGCTTGCTGTAGTGGGGTTCACCTCTGTTCCCTTTTCCTATTTGACCCCACGATCAAACAAGCAAAGATCGGGGGTGGGTGGAGGAGAAGAGGAGGGCTTGAAAGTCTCAGAGGCGGTCGAAACAGTTCTGGTACCAAGAGCTGACGACTTGGAGTCTAGCGGCCTTATCGGGAAACTGCAGAGAAGCTGTGCGGGCTCTGCCGCTGCTCTTTGATTGGGATGATTATAAGGAAACAAGTTAGTGAAGAAGCGGTGTGTGTGTGTGTGTGTGTGTGTGTGTGAGATGAGCGATCTTTCATTGTCACAGACGTGCAAGGTAAAGGAGTAACTAGACTCAGAATTAACGAGCGTGACGTGCTCTACACGCATTTTTTTCTCTTGAGTGCCCGTTCACAATAAGCGACCCCTTGTGAGGCATAATTTTTTTAAATTAAATTAATTAATTAATCTATCTATTTATCTATTTATTTTTATTATGGTGACGTTGGTTAACGAAATCCAGTAAGTTTCGGGTGTACAGTTCAACAGTAAGGCACATGTGTGTTGCATCGTCCATGC